AGGAAAATTTGTGTAAAGTGCATTTCTTAAGGACACAATGTCGGGCCCTGACAGAATTCAAACTCGTGACCGAGCGCTTGCAGGCCTAACAACCTAGATCACTGACATCACATAATATGACTTGATCCATCCTATTCAAAATCAAAATAATATAATGTTTTTACATCATAGCTATTATATTATTCTCACATATAGAACTATTTTGTTTTTAGTCAGGGATACCACTGTTCGGTCCTTTTTGTTTTCTTTTTCTCTTTGTTTATTTGTCCATTTAAAGTTTCCCATGCACTAAATGACCATTGCTATGTTTATGTGCTTCTATTTACTTAAAGAACTGATTAGTATTTCATAAATAGCATATATTTGGTATCTTTTCCTATCCCTCATAATTCTCGTTAGTAGCCATGTTCGTTCTTAATTAGAATGTTGTTTTTCCCTTCCAGACTATCGGTCCGGACCGCTGGCTCATGGGCACATTTGACCTTGAACCGGGTCACTGGGACATTGTGTTTCGCCCTCATGACGATCAACGATTCTCTCTGGATGATATGTACCTACTTGAAGGAACCTGTGATGAGATGAGTGAGTGTCTATGGATTAAAATTTTTATTGTCTCATTGAGCAAGTGGTTGGCGGGTGCTCTGGTGTGGCTTGCTCCTTCTTTCCTATCAAATATCTGTTGTCCTGATCTCGCCTTCTTTTTTACATTTGTTACTTTCTTGCAACACCTCATATCTTCAGCACTTATTTGATCTTATTGTGTTGCAAGTGCCGTAAAAGTTTTACTAAAACAAATTGTCCCAGTGTTGTGTTTTCTCCTAGAGTTATCATGATAAGTGTTTGCTAATCATGGAGGGGGTGAATGTATGACTGCAAGGGGAAAAAACGAGTGACTCGCAGATAGACAGGCAGAAAAGACAGATATATACATAGATAGAAAGATTGTATTGTGTCAATGTGATTGAATATACGTTTAGTTTTGTTTCATAAAAGCAGGATAATTTAAAGCACATTGTCAGTTTCAAAGATGAGAAAAGTTTATATTATCATAATGTAATTTTTACAGTATTGAAACTCTTTGTGAGAGATCGTGTAAAAAACTTTTTTTCTGTTAGAATTTATTGTAAAATGAAACTTTTTATTCTGATTCACTTCTAGTTTTCCCTTGTAATTGTAATTTAAAAGATTTCAATGTAATTTCAGCAGTATTGAAATGTTATTTTACTCTTTGGAATCTTGATTTGTTTTTGTTTTTTTGCTTTTCTTTGTTGTTGAAAAAGTTTTTCTCTCATTTTCTTAACAGTTTTGACAGACAATTATTCTCCCTGAGACATTTCTGTCCTTTGTTATGGCCAAAAGGAATAGATAATGTTCACTTCACAGAAATTTAAGTGGGTCGTTGGAGGGTGCCACTGAGGTCCTACTTCTTTACTTTCCCTCCGTGGTTTTTACCCGACAGTCTTACTTTTTCCCACCACTAAATGACCATTATTGTGTCGATATGCTTCATTTTACTCAAACAAACGAAACAGAAATTTAATGACAAATCATTTTCAAATTCTCTTTGATGATTTTGTTTGTCAGAGTGTTTGCCTGGGGAATTCATGTGCAACACGTTTGGGTCAAGGAACTGTCTTCCTGTGGCTGTGCGATGTAACATGGTGCTGGACTGTGATGATGGGCAAGATGAAGAAAACTGCAGTGGTAAGAGAGGAGGGGGTAAAAGCCCCAATCTGTATCTGTTTCTGTGGGTTCATAAATACTTCTGTGCTAAACACAGAGATCAATAATGTGTACTTTTTGTGGTCTTTTCTCTGGTTAAAAATTTGTTTTATTATCTTTTTTTTTTTTTTATTCCTTTTTTTTTCTTTCTGAATTTCCTTTTTCTTTTATTTCATTTCTCAAATGGCTCTTCTGTGATACAAAGTTGGTCTGCTTTTAAAAGATTTTATTACAAAACAGGACGTTCGATAATTTTTTAAAAGCATGAATTCTTCCAATAATTGAAGAAAATTTTGAATTATTTTAATTGATACTTTTTGATTGTCGAGTAGGCCTAAGCTTTAAAGGATATTATAATTAGATACAGACCTTTTTCTTATTAAGCTTCATTTCTTGATTGTCATGTTTTATTGCTACCTTGTTGTGTGTTCTTCGTTTTCTTAACTCCTGGACTTAAAAAGAAATATATGTTTTAAAAAGAGAAAATTTCCTCCCGGTTCAGCTTCTTTGTACACATGTGACTTCGAGAACGGCAACTTGTGTGGCCTTCAACAATCCACAACGGACAGTGTGGCTGGAGAATGGGTCATGGCCGACTCGTCCGATACTCCTAGGAATCTCGTGGATCACACTTTTGCCAACGACAGTGGTGAGTGGACACACTGACTTTGTCACTTGAGATCACCCGTCTTTTGCATCGTCCTGTGTAGTTTTTGTTATGTAGTAAACAAGAAGTCGACTTCTCAGTGCATGACTCCCGTCATATGTCACTTTTCAATATGGAACATGTGTCATAATGTGGTGGAATCAGGCGCTCGTCAATTTTTGGGCATGTTGAGTTATCATTTTAAAGCTTGTTCATTTGTCTTGCTTTCGATGAAAAAAAATGGTCATATATCATGAATAGAAGTCGAGATATTTGTGATTGAAGGAGATGAGGGTCGCCTGGTTTCAGAGGTAAAATTTGCAAGAAAATGACCGCTAAGCTTTGCAACTTCCAAAGCTTGAGAGTCATTAGAAACTGCAAATTTACATTTTTGTACCTTAAATCAACATTTTTCAGTAAAGTCCACACAGAACTGAGTTTTTAAATGAACCTTAAAGGAGTTTAGTCAAGAAATAAAATTCGATAAAAATTGCCAAATGGACAGAAAAATGCCAGTTTCTGTAATTTCATTATTTTGACGAGCGCCTGATCTCACCATGGTGCCTCATGACATATGGTGGAGTTTTACACTAAGCGTTCAGAATGTTCTCCTGGCTTTTTCCAGCCTGTTGTAATTTCTCCATTTCTGTCAGTAGGTTTTATACTTAGGAAAAGAACATGGCTTGGGGTCACTACTGTATCACATGAGATTAAAAGAGTTTATCTATATTTTGTGGATACTTACAGTTATGACGACTGATATTTTCACCAAGATTTGCTGTGGATTTGCAAGCATCCACTGATAGTATAGGAAGAGATAAAAATTGACTTAAATTTCAAGCCTGAGACTAAACGTTTTACAAAATTACGCCAAGACCTGTCTATCACATATTCAAAATGGTTCACAGTACTTGTGTGCATGGTGCCCTGGAAATGTGACGCACTTAATTTTTTTAAATTACTTTCTGTTAAGCAAAGAGACAATAGTGCTACTGAGTGAAGGCACTTCCATATTCTTTAACTTGGAGAGTCTAGATTAGATCTTTAAAAATCTTGGGAAAAGTTTTTTTCTCATTTTAAATCCGATTACCAATTTTTTTCTCATTTCAAATTCAATTACCTAATTTTTTCCCCCTTTTCGAATTCTAGGAACAATGTTGAAGATCCCAACTGCATACATGCTTCGGGAGGACAAAGTTCACATGTTTCAGGACGTCCTACTGGAAGACACTCCGTACTGCCTCAAACTTTTCTACGCCTCCACGTCTCCAGCTACTTTACAGGTATGGCTGAAGTTGTCTCTTTTCATTTTCATCTTCGTTTTTTATTTTTTTGTTTTTATTTTTTGCTTTGCATTGTTGGATGGTGCTACTGATATGTCCTATTTCTTGTCTTTCTGACTGTGGTTTTTACCTGTCGTTCTTCGTCTCCTATGCACTAAATAGCCATGTGATTTTTTGTTTGTATGCGGTTTTTATTCAGGCACCACTGTGGGTCCTTCTTGTTGCACCCTCTAATGTTTCTGCTGATCTGTTCTGTTTTTTACCTGCTGTAGTTGGTGGTTGGCGGTTGCACTTGTGTGGTTTGCTCCTTCCTTCCTATCATACAACTATCATCCTTATTTCCTTTCTTTGTTTATGAGTCCCTGACTGTTCTGATCTCTCCATCAGGTCAAGATGGAATGGGACAACAAGGCCAGACAAGTGTTGCGGTTCACTGACCGCCTGACCCCAACCTGGATCCCCGTCCAAGCAACCCTACCCACCTTAGGTCAAAGTACAAAGGTCAGACTGAGTTACTACGTCATCGGAGGAGAGCTTGGTTTTGAAATTGACGAGCAGGCAATTCTCATCGACGACATAACAATCTCACGTGGAGCATGCTCAGAATTTAGTAAGTGCTATTTTTCTTTGCTTCCTGATTGCCAGTTGTGCTGTCTCTTTGAAAACAGTAGCTGCTAGTGCTGGACAAATTATCATTCTCTTTCTCTTTTTAATATTATTGTCATATCGATCACCATTCTTGTCATTTTGTATCGTTATTGTTATCATCTCATTAATACTGTCATTTTCTTTATAATTATGATCACAATAACTTTTTCATTACCTTCTCATAATCATTATCATTTTGTTATATTATCTTTTTATTGTTACCACAATCTCATTTTCATTATTATCGTCTCATTTTCACGGTCATCTGCTCTTTTTTTCCAGCCTGTCCCCCTAACACTTTGAAGTGCGGTGGAGAGGCTTACTGCTTACCCATGGCCAAAGTCTGCGACAGAGTTGTACATTGTCTAGAGAGAACAGATGAGATCAACTGTGGTAAGACAAACAGGAATGCTAAGATAGAGTAATAGTAATAATAATAATAATGATAATAGTAGTAGTATTAGAAGATAACATTTGTATAGTGCAAATTCCCACTCAACAATAAGCTTATGTATTTTACAATCTATATTATTGTCTCAGAAGATACTAACATACTGACTAGATCTTTCGCTGTCTATGGAAGATGATAAGATAGTGTAAGATAAACTAAAATGAACATGGGTGACCTTCCATTTGAAAGGTCTTGGTGAGAGGGAGGGAGAGAGACAGAGACACAGAGAGAGAGAGAATATTTAGCCTTCGAGTATCTAGTATAATGCTGAAACAAATGCACACACACAGGCAGGCAGATATGACGTCTGTGCTCACAGACAAATTCGAAAGCTAAGTTGAATAATCTCTCCCTCAATCTTTTCTTCCTTTTGTAGCTATCTGTCTCTGTCTCTATCCGTCTCTCTTTCTCCTAATCTCCCTCCCTCTTTCTATATATCTTTGCTTTCTGGATGAAGTGCATTTGATAGCTTGCTATTTGCAGCTGAATTTTCAATCTCCCTTTGTTCCAGCGTGTGAAGCGGATGAGTACAAGTGTCCGACAGGATCGTGTATACCTCGGGAGAAAACGTGTGACCTCATACGGGACTGCCCAGATGGTAGCGACGAGGGAAGTGTTTGTGGTAAGGCAGATTTCTCACTGAATTATTTAGGTTTATTTGTTTTTGTCTTCATTTGTTTTACTTTGGTATTTGGGGGGGTTCATTGTAGAGAAGTCTGTGGTTTATGCCTAATGCTTAGGTTATATTGCTGTTTGAATTGAAAACCTTGTAGTTTATGTTGGGTTTTTTTTTTTAATTTGGGGAAAAGCTTTAATTAAGGTTATAACTTCCGGCTGAAAATTTTTTTTATCTAAAAATTGTTTACTGAATATTGAATACAGCAACATTGATATCAGGATGCAAGCTTTTCACTTATATCAATTAATCTTAAAGCAGATTGATTTTACTGTTGACCAATTTTTGTAAGTGCTAAGGGTTTTCTTTTTCAATCAAACAGCAGTATATTTCGCTTATGAGTCATAAACTGCAAGAAGTTTCAAGTTGACAGCAGCAGGGAGATAATGATATAATGTCGTTTTTTTTCTATCATCCATATCTCTTATCCTTTTTTTCTTTATATGTTACTCTTTAATAACACCTCTTACCTTCATCACTTGTATGAGTTCTTTGTGTTGCAAGGGCCGTAAAACTCTTACTGATACTAAAGCTAAAAATGGACATGTACTTCCTGCAACATCATCATCATCAGCGCCTTTCTCACTGTGTATAGGCCACAAAGGAATATTTTCCACCTTTTCCTATCCTGGGCCAGCCTCTTGATATTATTCCATGTCTTCCCACTTTTCTGTACATCATTCTCTGTGACTCTTCTCCAGGCTCTCTCATGTGGCCTTCCCCTTGATATCTTACCCTGTGGATTCGAGTCCAACACTTTCTTTCCTACGACAGATTAATATATCATTCTCCACTTATTTCTCCCCCCTCCCCCAGACCCGCAGCGCTCTATCAGCTGCGACTTTGAGAACAAGTTCCTGTGTGGCTACACGGTCAACACCACCAGCAATGGCTTCCACTGGGCACGACACAGTGGCCCAACACCAAGGAGTGGAACCGGGCCCAACGAGGATCACACGTTTGAGGGGATAGCTGGCCTCACCGGTAAGAGAACCTCCCTTGTGCGCTTAAGCCATTTGTCTCAAGGATTTAGGCACACACTTTTGAGGGAATGGCTGACCACAGCAGTAAGAGAGCCTCTTCTTTGTGTGTGTGTACTAGAGTTCGGGCGAACGGACGAATGGGTTTGTTACTCGCGGACACAGTCAGAGCGAGCGAGTAATGGATGGCCATGTGATCGGACTGCGAACCCCATGACATTTCTTTTTTTTTTTGGTACACTCTACAATTTTATTCAACTCAGCTAGTGGGAAAATGGATGAACTCTTGCAGACCAGATACTCGACCCATTGTTTCAAGCCTCTCCTGGTGCTGCATGAAGTGAGAGACTTGTCACATAGCACTGTGTCTTTTAATGTCAAGAATACAAAATTGTGTGTATGTATGTGTGCATATTGGCTGCTCATCGTAAGACGGTTAGACTTCACTTTTCAGAACGGTGTATGGCAGTCTTACACTGGGCAGTCAGTCGGTGTTTTGAGTATAATAATTTGTGTATGTGGGTGTATGTATGCATGTCTCTAAGAAATTAAAGTTTCTTTACTCTTTCTAACAGGTCACTACATTTTTGCGGATGGACTGAAAGAAGGAGATTACACATCCCTGGAATCTTTCCCGTTCCTCTCTGACGGCAAGGGTCTCGCATTTTTCTACCACGCGAGGCACTTCCTACGAAAATTTTGGATGACAGGCAGACTCTCGCTGATTGTGACGCAGTGGAGCACTGGCGAGCAGGTCAGTGATAGTTACACATGTGTGTTGTGTTGTTTGTGGCTGGAGAATCTGTGAATGAATGAATGAATGAATTAGAGAATAATAGAAGGACAGTGTGTGTGTGTGTGTGTGTGTGTGTGTGTGTGTGTGTGTGTGTGTGTGTGTGTGTGTGTGTGCTCGCGTATGTGTCTGTGTATGTATGAGTAATCATAATTTCAGCTTCACCACTGAAGACAACCCATTTGCTTGCAAATCTTTCTGTTTTTGATAGTAACAGGTTATCAAGCTTTCCACATGGTTTTTTCCTCTTTTAATTTTAATGAATACCTTTGCCTGAAATGTATTATAATTTTCGCTCTGGCAAGAACATCCATCCGATAAATCAACACTCAGGTGACGTTTTGCTTGTGTGCTTTTGAAAATAGTCGAATCGGTACAACTAGATACTTGTAATTACAGCGTGGCCTATATAATATACAGAAACAAAAGTTAAGAACAAAGCGAGCAACACGTCGGTATTGTCCGTAAAAATAGTCTGTGTTGTTAGAGACTTTCACGGGTGGAGGGATCACATTTTGAAACGCCTGTGTTCCGAACCAGTTTACCGACAAATCAGAAAGCTCGGGTTTTTACGGCCGGGTTTTTTTTTCCTTTGGTCTTAAGGCGTGGCTTAGCGTATGTAAGATAACAGACCTCCATCTTCAAACATTGTTTGGGCTTATAATATTAACAAGATTGGAGGCGGAAATCTCTTGCATTTACCTCTCTGGAGATCTAGTTCGCTGTTTCGCGATGGTAGACAAAATAAGAGAGACTGGTAGATTACGAAGACGAAATTTAAGTAGTGGTGGTGAAACCAGAGAAAGCAGTTTAGCCGTACCAGCGTGTGAGGGCTAGATGGTGGTGGTAGTCAGGTTGTAGGTTCCTAGTTTAGTTCCCTCTTTCTTCATCTCTCTCTCTCTCTCTCTCTCTCTCTCTCTCTCTC